CCCCATAGCATTAAAGAACCAGCCCCCTCTCACATCATTCTCCTCCCGCTTACATCTTTATTAGTACTTTGTTGTTATTTGTGTGTATGTACTTATATTTAATGTTTTTGGCAATAAACCAAATAATTACAAAAAATAAGGATATTTAGCAAGTCAAACAATGCTCTTTGAATCTGAATCAGAGAGAGAGAGAGAGAGAGAGAGTTGAAGGAGCCACATTGTGTCAGTGTCTGAGGAGAGCAGGAGGGGGAGATGCAAGCACACACACACACACACACCTCATTAACACATATATGGAAAGAGAGAGAGACTGGATTCCAGCATTATTCCTGATATTCCTGATGCGGCGTGGCTCAGAGCTGAGACCGGAGCAGCGATGTACAGCTGACAGCAGCTTCCCGTTCAGATATGAGGTGGCGAGCGGTCAGGACACATCGAATCCAACTGCATCTGCATTCACTGGACAAAGCAGCAAACACACATGAACCACTGGAGCGATCATCAGCACACCCTGACGGGTTAACGCTACAGTAAGCCGACTTTCATCTAGAATAACATGCCTGCTCTTGCGGTAGGTTTTTAGTCTGAAGCACAAAAAAGTCAGTTTAGCTTTAGTCTGATTTTTTTCTCCTGTGCTGAAATCAAAATCCCCTTCTGAGACGTCTACAGCACCCTTCTCTGCACACTCCAAACTTAAGTGGATTACATCCGAGGCATTAGGGATTTGGGGGCTGTGATGTGAAGAGACATGCCTGACCGCAGGACACAGCAGAACCAGGGGAGATCTGCGTGTGTTTGCTGTCACTTTACATGTGGATTACTCGCGTGAGGACGGTCCACAGCTGATCGTTACGATGAACTTCAGACAGAGGAGAAGGTAGGTGTCCAGTCGGTTTCTAAATTTTCTTTTAAATGTCATTTTTAGAGAGTGCATTAAATTCACCTGTAGATGTACTATGCTGGCCAAAATTATTAAAACACTAGTATTTTCACCAGCAAAAAAATGGTTTTAAGATCTGATCATCATCAGTCTGTCTGGAATGACATGAAGAAACAGAACAAACTGAGAAAGACTCAATCCAGAAGAACTGTGTCTCCGAAACGCTTCAAGAAACCTCCTGCAAAGCTCCTGAGAAACTCTGCTCAAGTGCACC